GGGGGAGAGGGGGTGGGTGGGTTGCTGGCTACGTAGTCTTTTCCTTCTATTACGCCACTATACTTCTTCGACACCGGTCTACACATGAGAAGTGCATCGGATGCCAAGCAATAGTGGGCTATCATTTCGGTGAGGCATTGTCGACGACATAGTTGGTGGTCATCTTACACAAAATCGTTATAATACAAAAACCGCAATGGGGGAGTGGAGAGCGATTGTTTGTACACATGACTGTCTTGGACAGGTAGTCGTTAGAGGAGGTTCAACTGCATATTACACACCGCCCGTAGTAGATGGACAACCAACTACCGGTACTATCGTAATGCTGTATTTTTAAAAAAACAGCAACGATACACGAGCACACACAGGCAACAGAAACTCACAGAGACAGAGAAAAGAATATAAGAAAGAAAAAAGAAATTTCACTATTTCCCTAGCGCCCAATGCTGACCCCAGTAATAACAGGGAAGATCCCTCGAGATACAAGTACCGTCGTCTGAACTCGACTTCGCTCGGAATGAATTATGGCAGGGCGCCGCTCACTGACGGTAAACAACAGCTAGACAAACTCGCGCAGGCAGCATTGCTGGGATTTTCTTCTCCTTTTCTAAGTTTGACAATGCTCACCGCAGGCTGTTTGAGTACGTTCGAGTAAGAAGAAAAACATCGACACAATAACGGTTAGTTAATGCAAGAAGTAAGTAAAACAGAAACAACGGAGAGAAAGAGCAGCAGGATATACCATTGGCGCCCTCCAGCAACCCGCACAAAAAGTTGTCAACGGGCTGTTACAATCATAGATCGATCTATATAAAATTAAATACTATTCATGTATTCATTTTAAGACTCTACCATCTGCAAGCACAAAGAGCCTTGCCTGGTCTTATTCTTATTCATTTCTATAAATACATTTCTATTCATCACAACACACAAACAACTCTTTTTTTTTCAACACTAGCAACGTGCAAGCGACATAAAGCAATAAAATGTCCACAATGTATGCTTCGTCCTCACCGTCTACCTCCGTGTGGGCGTACGTTGTGCTCCCCACCCAACCACAACCCCACTACATCACCTGGGCAACAACAAAAAATGACCGCCCCTTCCTCCACCTGGTCCATCCTGGTCGTCACCAGATGTAGAAAGACAGACAGACATTATTATACTGCCACAATTCATCTTTATAAAAATGCAGAACTTAAAAATAAAAAAAACAGACTACTTCAAAGCATCTTTATTTTTATCAACTACATGTATAATAATCATACAGGTACAATAAGATATTGTCATATCTTCGCCTATTTGTCTACGGAACAAGAGAATAAAATATACAAACCATAATAATATAATCTTATTTTCTCTTCTAATACAATACAAAAATACCTTGAATACCCTGTGAACAAACGGTAAACAAAGCTCTGAGGCCTTGGCCGCGTATTCACAAGCTCCTTCTTCACATTCATGGGCCAGCAGAGCTCTTAGACAAAGATACATCAACCATCCCCACCACCTCCCCCACCCGTACACAAACGCGCGCACAAA